TCTTTCATAAATTATCATCAATTGAAAAGTTCTCATACACGATCTTTTCACAATAGAGAAATGTGAGATAGAAAGAAGAAGAAGAAAAATTTTCAAGATGGGGGAGGGGGGGAGAGGGCAGCAAATATGGAGAGAGGTGAGAAATGTTGTGAAATTTTTAGGTTTGGGTTAAAATTGTTACTGATTCTTTGTACTTATATTTTTACCTTGAAATCCTTCAAAATCTATCTACTTAATGAAATCTTTTAAAATCAACCAGTTATGAGGACATCTAAATTTCAAAACTACCTATTAAAATCTATGTTGAGGACACCTAAATTTATAAGTATTTTTAAAAATCTAGATTGGGAACACCTATATTTTAATGAATTATATTTAAATCTGAATTGAGGATACTTCAATTTATATGGAGTTTTAAAATCCATCAAACTCTAGATTGAGGACACCCCCCTTAATATCTATCTATTAATGAAATTCATAAGTTATCGAGGATACCAAAATTTTAATAATTTCATTAAAATTTATTAAAATCTCATTTGGGAAAACCTAAATTTATGAATGTTAAAGATTATAAATTTTAATAAATTTCATGGATTTAAATAGATTTTCACAAAATTTATAAGGATCTCATTAAAAATTTCAACTGGAAACACGTGGATTTAGAATGATTTTTAAAATCTATCAAAATCTGAATTGAGGAAAGTTTCATACTATTTTTATCTTTGGAAAAATTAATCGTCATTCGTCAACTTAACCACTTCAGTGTCCGATTAAACTCTAAGGGCGTGCTTGGGAGTTTTATTTTTTATTTTTATTAGGGAACAATAAATATTTCAGATGTTTACTATAAACCATTTCAATTTTAATAAACAAGTTTTAAACTTTCAAAAGTCAAGTGAAAATTATTCAAATAAATATCCTTCCTAAAATCAAGCATTCAATTACATGTTTCTCTTTCTAAACATGATTCCCCAATTTAACAAATTATAAAGACGATCGGAAAAACGAGAAAAGTTACAGAAAACTCTCGATTCCCATCGCTAAAATCTAGCTCTTTGAAAATCGTTGGATTGTTGAGGTCATAAATTAGAAATTATCGACACCGTAGAGCAAAATTTTTTGAAGGCAGTGGTCACAAATTGAGGTAATAATAGAAGTAGCAAATTGAGCCTGGTGTTCATTCAGAAGTAGGTTTGAATTGTTTCGAAGTCACTATTGGTAGCAGATAACATTGTATTGTTCCTGGTTCTTCATATTTTTGAATTGACGAAATAATGTTGAAACTCCAATCGTGAGACTTTTAACGGAAATCGAAAAGATCAATTAGCATGTAAACTGTTATATTGAAAAGATTCATTGGAATATAAACTATGAGTTGTTGTGTCAAAAATTGAAAATATCCATTATTACTTGTGATATTGATCCAATGGCTTGTGCTTATTGAAAATGGCTGGATTATTAAGGTCACAAATTTTATATTAGCTACATTGTAGAGAATATTTTTTGAAGGTAACAGTCACTAATGGAGATAATAATAGAAATAGCCAATTGAGCATGGTGATCATCTCAAATAGGTTTGAACTGTTTTGAAGTAACCATTGGTGGCAGATAATATTGTGTTGTTGCTGAATCTTTCTATTTTTTAATTGATGAAATAGTATTGAAGCTCTAATCATGAGTTGCTATGATGAAATTGAAAAGATCTATTGACCTATAAATCGTGATTTGGAGGTTTCTTCGTTCACCTTTATAAAAATAAAAAAAAATAAAAAAAAATAGTTACACATTATAACTGAAAACAAAACATGAATTGAAATTAGAATACATGATTGAGTTTTTGAATTGCGTCTTGAAATTGAATATAAATAAATCTTACAACCAGAAATCCTCCTCTAATCTTGAATTTGATCTAAACATCGTACTTTGCCTTGTGTTTTCTTTCTCAAATATGTATTTATGTTGTTGTATAAAGCTTAATGCTTTGTTTTGACCTAGATATGGACTTTATATAGAGGTCAATACGTCTTGAATAGTGATGACAAAAAAATTCGACCTGCCCTGTCCGCCTCGAATGGGTTGGTGCGGTGGGGCAAGGCGGAGCTCCCCGTGCGAGGTGCGGGGTGAGGCGAGAATGTCCTGCCCCGTGAAGGAAAAAAAAGATTAAAATAATTTTACTTCTAGACAATTTACCCGCTAAAAATTCATTTTGAATTTGTATTTTATTCTCTAATAATAACATAATTCAAAACTTTGAAAATGTAAAAAAATTAAAAAATTAGGCAAAAAGTTGCCCCGCCCCCACCTTAGACGATGTGGGGCGGGGAGGCCCGAACCCGCCGCGTTACCATCCCTAGTGTTGAATGTCATCTACATTAAATACACAAAATGTCCTCAAATTAGGAACCAAAATCAATCTTTTAGGCTCGTTGGATATTGTGGCGCGCAAGGAAGGGAAATAGGCCCCCAAAATCTCCTGGGGCGGTCGCCTATATCCAAATTAGTCCTACCACTTCCAATTGCTTTTGGATTAATCCTTCAACTTCCAAATTATCCACTTTAATTCTTCATCTTTCTGTCAAAATTGGCCCCTAAAGTTTTGATGGTGGACAAGTTGATCCTTAAGCTTTCAAAAAATTGAATTTGGTCTTGTGAATAAACCATTTGGTACTTTCAAAACTTCCAATCAAGCCCAAGCTTCCCTCTTTTAAGTTCCAAACTCCACCTCCAAGTCGGAGGTTTACCTACAAACGCAATATGTATACAAAAATAAATAGAGCTTTGCCTAATTATTCAATGATGCACAATTTAAGAGTCAACATAAATAATAAAATGCCCCTATCAAGCGTTAATATCTTAAAACATATTTATTCAGAGGGTTTAAACAGAATGTTATAATTATTTATGAATTTCAATTCTCATCGGGAAAAGAATAAAAGATTCCATTTTTCCTCTCTAAACTAGGTCTGGGCAAAAATATCGAAAAATCAACCAAATCAATCAAATTGGCTTGATACATGTAATTTGTTTGGTTTGATTTTCCTTTAAACAATATCATGGTGGGTCAGTTCATTCATGATTTGAAGTCTCAAACCGTTGGTTAATCGAACCAAACCAACCCACTTACATGTTTATTTTTTTTATTTAAGAAAAATAAAAATCAAAAGATAAGTCTTAATCTAATAACTATATCTTGATTCCCTCCAATCTATGATATTGCCAATATATAATAGCAATGGGAATTTCCTTTCGAAAGCTCATTATGTTATACTTTTTTTTATACTCTGACATTCATATTACATAATACATAGAAAAATAACAAAACTTTTATTTTTTTTGTTGATCTGTCTCTATTAACCTGATTTTACTTGTTAGTAAATAGTTCTTGTAATCTAAGTGGACCCAAAATTCTGACAATTTTTAAAAAAATTTCATTCAAACTGACTAATTTAATTTTGGTTTTAGGTTAGAGCTGACACCCAGCTAAACCAAATCAAGCCCCAGCCTACTCTAAACAATGTTAATAATATTTATAAATGTTTTGAGAAATGAAAAGTAAATCTATTTGAAAAAGGGATAATTGTAGCCATGATCCCAGACCTTTCAAATCTTTGCAGTTTTTACTTTAACCTTTCATTTGTTCCATACATGGTCCCAAACATTTCAAGTGTGTGCACTTGGAGGACAAATTAATGAAATCGATCCACTCTTTCATTAGTTGATCAAATAATGATTTTGACCATATTTTAACAATTTTTAAATGACAGAATGATAACTTTACATTTTTCTATTATAAAAAATTTAAATATTAAATCATTTTTTATTTTTTATGAAAAAAGAGAATTAAAAATAAACTAAAACCTTCTTCCCCTCCCTACTGTCCCCGCCCTCACAATCAAAATCAAATCAGGAAAATCCCATCTCCGATTGCCAGTCAACCAACCATCATTGTCACCACCACCATCTGATACCGCCAACCGTGAAAACCCAAATTTCGCATGTTTAATCTAAAATTCGAAAAATCATTTCCAAATTCCTAAATTTTCCTTGCCCAAATTTCACAGCACAACGAACAACAACCATATGAATGTTTTCAAGATAACCTACTTCATATCCAGTTTTCCCTTTTTTTCCCCTTTTTGGCAGAAATCTCCTTCAAATTCATCTGTTCCCCTTTTTCCCTTCATATGTCAAGCCGAAGTGAAGAATCTTTACATCCAGAGATAAAGGTAAACTTTTTTAAATTCAATTTGTTAAATAGGT